AAAAAAAAAAAAAAAAAAAAAAATGATTAACGAAGTCGTAGGAGTAGGAGGGTTCGTTCGTCGATTATTTTTGACGAATTCGTATGCCTGGAGGACAGAACGTGAGAACATACGAAGAACACATGATCGATGCGCATGATTGTGGATGAATAATGATCGTAGATCTATGTACACGGAGTCAACTGTTTACAATAAATAAGTCTTTAATAAATATACTACTAGATTAATAGATGATTCCTACAAAGATTCGTAGCGAGGTGAAGATATTTCTGGCGGACTCTTTTTGTATGTCATTTTTTCTCTCTCTCTCTTTTTCTCTCTCTTTCACTCTCTCTTTCTCTTTCTCTCTCTCTCACTCTCTCTTTCTCTCTCTCTCTCTCTCTCTCTCCATTCTTTAATCGAGATTCGAGAAGACAAAGTCGTAGATAGATAGAATCTCTTTCGCTGTTCTCTTTCTTTCCCTAATTTTTCTCTAAATTTTTCACTCTTGGAAAAATCGATTCCCTATATATCTCTCGTGACGAAGCACAGAATGCATAATATATTCGTTAACACTAGGCAAACAACATTTTCAAAATATCTGGTCGAACGTGTGCCAGTTTTTCCTTTCTTTATATATACATATATATATATATGTATATTCTTTTTCCTACTTTTTTTTTATTTATATTTAAATTTACGAAAAAGGCAGTTCACGATGTCTCTATGAATTAAGCAAGAAAATATCTCTCTATTAATTATTCTCTATTATTGCCATTTCTCTCGAGCGCGAAGCTTCTCTTGTATTGCGAGGTTCGTACCTACGGATATTTTATCTCTAATTTCCTCTTCGTTAATTTCGAATCTCTACTTAGAACGATATTAGGTCAATAAATAATTTGCGATAAACCGATCAACCGTCGTCGGATTATTATCCTTCATGTGTGAGAATTAAATTATATATATATATATTTTATATATATATATATATATAAAAAAAAAAAAAAGAAAAAAGAAAAGAAAAGAAAAGAAAAGAAAAAAAAGAAAATGAGGAAAAATGAACACAATATTTGATTCTGATACTTCAGATACGATAATACAATATATATAATTCCTATATTTTTATATATCGATTATATTAACAAGATTCTTTTTTTTTTTTTTTTTTATAATTAGAACAAAATACAAAATTAAATATTTTCAATCATTATCGATTAGAATCGTATTTGTATTGATTAGTTCACGGTAGCTGCGAAAAAACGCACAACGTCTCCCTCGTTATTTTTAAGTCTATCGATCGGGCTTACCGCATAGTGGTAAATTTTTGGCAGCCGGGCATCGGCCCGATACGTTTACGAGAACGAACAACGAACGCTCGATTTTAACCTTAACGTTAACGTTTAACGAGTAAGTATTCTCTATATAACGGTTTTTTAATACTTTTCTCTTTCTCGGTAATTTAATACTTTAAATCTCTCTTTACACGAACCGTACAAAAAAAAAAACAAAAAAAAAAAAAAAAAAGAAGAATTATCCCTCCTCCCGTTCGAAACCGCTTTCCCTTCTCGGGGGATCGTTTACAATTATTTCCTCGTTCGTTCGTTCGCGCGCGATTTTTCTTCGCAAGGAAGAAAAGAAACAGTCTAAAATCGGCTGGCGCCAAATTTTTACATTTTTTTTTTCTTTTTTTTTTTTTACAATGTTTTTTACGCACGCAAGACGGCGGCGTACCGAGAATAATCGAACATTTTCACTGGATGGGTGTAATCGGGTGCAAAGTGTCGATTTTCAGGAAACGCCGATAGATTTTTTTTTCTTTTTTCTTTTTTCTTTCTTTTTTTTTTTTTTTTTTTTTTTTTTTTTTTCTTTTTACTCCAGAGAAAGGAACGGGACACGTGAATTTCGCTTTCGCGCGAAAGGGAAATAACGTGCCTGATCGATTTTTACACGTAGAATCGTGAAATCGAGAAAAAAAAAAAGAAATATATAAACGAAGAGCGAAGAAGAGTGTGAGTATTGTTGGGATCGATCCAGAGATACAAAATTATGTCATTTCTCGCTCCACGCTATCGATCTCGATAACGTCCTCCTTCTCCTCCTCCTCCTCCTCCTCCTCTCCCTCCTGCTGGTGGTCTCCTGATGCGTGTCGGCCAGGCACAGGCCAGTCGAGCCGCCGTCTTCTCGTCGAGGAACGTTGCGCAACGTTAAGATTTGCTAATCGAGCTGGACAAAATTCGAGACGAAGAGAATCTGATTACTCGAGTTTCGGTTGGTCGGTGAACATGGTGTATATATATATTCGAAAAACGGGAGAAAGAAAAAGATTCAGGTTAATATCTAGAAAGCGTTGCTGAAAATTCAACATGAAATTCTTGCATCGAACGAGCAGCAAACCGTTCGCAACACAAGCAGCCGTATCCAAAAAACGTCGTCGTTTCGTAGTCATCGACGTAACGCGCGAGAGTAGTAAAAAAAAAAGGCACAAAGGAAGCGCAAATTTCAGCCACAAATTTAACGCGATTTATCATTTAGCAGCAGCGCCGACTTTTGTCCAGCTGGATCGGCAACACTGCGCACTCGATCGAAACGCCACCGGTACCGTGAGTCATCGTACGAATATTCGACCGAATCGTGTTGACAACGAGTTACACGGCGACGGAAACACCGCTTCGAATCTCCTCCCTCGTTGAGGCGAGATCGTTGCTCTAATTAACCAATTCCATCCCTCCGTCGTCGTCCCAACTCTGCCCCTTCTTCCGCCTTTTTTCCATCCATCCTTGATTCGATTTTCGTTACGAGCACGATACGAAAGGGTGAAAGAATCGGTCGGAAGAGCAGAGTTCGGTACGAGACGCGTGTTGGAACTCGAGAGGAGGGGGGAGGGAGACGCGGCACACGCGATCGCCCTCGGCCAGCCTTCCTCGACCGCGTCCCACCGGAATCATTGTAAATTTACGTGTACATAGCAATCGGTATTGCGAATTAACGGCGTTTACATTCGTGCGTGACGTTGGTTGCGTGCGCGTCGTTCCTTCGTCCTTCCCTCTTGCAACTTTGAATCGAGGGGAATGAAGACGTTGCCCAACTCGATCGAGGCCTCCTGTTTTTTCACGCCTCCGACTTGCGTTATTCACGGATCCATTTCTCCAAGAAACTGGTAACTCGAAGAAGAAACCGCAAACCCGATTCTTCTCGGTTCAAAGCCGTTTTCCCGCTAATCGCGGTAAAAGGAAAGAAAAAAAGAGAAAAAAGAGAAAATACATAAAAGGCACGCGACCGGATCGAAGGAACGAATTCATTCATCCCGGACGGATGACACGTCGGGAAGGAAGGAGCCGCGTGTGTCCGAGAGACGCTCTCGATTATAGGATAAAAGAAACGTGATCGCGTAACGAGCACGAAAACTCTCTTAATCCCGAGAGAAAACGAGAACGATCCTTCGTTATGGAGAGGAGATCGTTCCCGAGTGTATATACATATATATATATGTACAGTCGATGATCTAATTAAGCGTGCGGGGCATTGATTATTCTCTTAACGGCGAACTTGATGGGATTCCTCGGTGCGTTCCTCCTCCGCGTGGCTCGATCGAAATACATTTTTCTTCGATAAGCCGCGAGGAAACGAATGAATTTGCGATCCAATTCTCGATCCGGGGATACGGGATACGATTTCCGTTCTCTCTTTTCGACAAGCGAATTATCCCTTTTTCGTATGTAATACTCCGTCGATCACAATTACGCTAATCGATGAAACGCGCGCTCGTTATCGCGACACGCCTCGTATACAGCGAATAATGGCTCACGTCCCAGTCTTTTTTCATTATATTTCTCCTCTCTCATTTTCAGTATTGGCTAATAATATATAAACAGTCGTGTATGTTTTCTCGTAAACAGCGGCTCCTTGTCTCTCTCTCTCTCTCTCTCTCTCTTTCTCCTTCTCCTTCTCCTTCGTTAACCGTGGAACACGGCGAGGGAGAAGAGACGACAAGACCTCAGCGTGCAGGGTGTAAAAGAAGCGGATTTTATGGATTGCACGGGTAATTCCGTATCTCTTATCCGTTTTTACTCGTAAGACGAAAGCCTCGTCGATTATCATCTAAGAGAGATATCGGTAAAATTGTAATTGTAACTCTAACGATTAAGATCAAGATGGAATCACGTATATACATACATACATACATATATATATATATGTATGTATGTATGTATATACGCGTATAAAAGAAGGATACACTCCCTTCACACCCTGCTCGTTACCAACTGTAGGTATACAGGTCCTAATTAAGACGCGGCGAAGAGATGACTCGCGGTAAGAAGATACGCGACGAGATGGCTATCGTCGGATGGGAATCGACGAGACACAATGGTCGACGAGGAGGAGCGGTCGTCGAGACGGTGATGAGACTAGTTGGACGAAGGGGGAAGGGAGGGGCAGGGCGAGAAGAAGAAGAAGGTAATAATATCGCGATACAATCGGGGGAATGAAGGAGACGATTAGGCCGAGGCCTGGACGCGATCCTCGCGCTTTCGCAGATCTCACGCGGCGCGGTGGTAGGATCGGGGCGAGGTCCACTGGATCGAGCGAACCAGGAGCAACAAGAAGGAGGAATTGAGGGGGCACCATGGCGAAGGACGCAGAGTTCCGGCTTTGCCCGCCAGTGGCCGCGGATCTTCTTCTCCCCTCGAGTTTCCCTCGGCCTTTGCTCGCCCTACGCCACCACGCCTCTCGTCGTCGTCGTCGTCGTCGTCGTCGTCGTTCTCGTCGTCGTAGTTGTCGTCGTGGTCGTTGTCGTGGCGGGTACCGTGGTCGAGGTAATGCTCGTGGTCGTCGGTATCGTCGTTCCCACCGTGCTCGTCGTCGCCTCCGCCGTGGTGGCAGCGCTCGTCGCCACAACTCCGCCAGGCTTCGACCTCTTCCGGCCCAGACCCACCGACCACGAATTCCTCCTCGGTTGCTGCGCCCCCTTCTTCTTTCTCTTCTTCCCGTTCGTCAAATTAGGCTTTTTACTCTGACTCGTGCTACCAGCGGCGTTTACTTTTTTCGCGTTTGATGCTGGCGCTTTGCTCTTACCGTTGCTGCTCCCGGTGACGTTCCTCCCTCCTCCTCCTCCTCCTCCTCCTCCTCCACCTCCTCCTCCTTTTCCTCTTCCTCCTCTCTCTCCTCCTCCTCCTCCTGCTCCTCCTCCTCCTCTTTCACCTTCTCCTCCTCCTTCTGCCCGTTCTCCGTTCTCGGCAGCCTCCTCGACCCGCAGCTTCCGTTTCTTGGAGGGGACCGAGAGGGCCTCTCTTCGACAGGCCTCCTCGCTCGCCAGACCCTCGCACGATCTCTTCGATTGGATCGATGGGGACGTCCCGTTCGCGGCTAGGCTCTGGCTCCTAGCCGGGGGAAGCGGCTTTCCCTCGGCTGTTTGGCACTGGGGGCCCGGCTTCTCGCCCGGTCTGCACCTCCGCTTCCTCTTCTTCCTCTTCTTCCGCTTGCGACACCTGAACTTGTCCCTGCCGTCCTTCTCCTGGGCGGGGAGCGCGGGGCAGAGGGACTGTTGGATGAGGTCGCCGCGGTGGGTGTTGTGACGGTGGCGAACGTTGTGCTGGGCGCCGAGCATCCGCCTTTGGAGGGTCTCCACCCGGTCCAGAGGCGCGACCTGAGTCAACACCCGCGCGTAGGCGGACAGCCTGCCGAGATTGTGACCCTTGGCCTGTACCCTCCTCGGCTGCCCGTGACGGTTCAATCCGAGGTACAACGTTTTCTTAGCCGTCGACCATTTCGCCGAGCTGTACGTGTTGTAGTTGTGCTGCTCCAGGGTCTCGTTGAACACGCAATCGTCCGTGTACTCGCGCTGCAACACAATCATTTAGGATTCAGGTTAGCTCTCTTCTCTTTTTCCTCTTTCCTTCTCTCTTTCTCTCCCTTTTTCTCCTTTTGCCAAAGATTTGCATTTTACGCTCGCCTCGCCGTCCGATCGGATCGACAAATTTTGATACATGTAACTACTTAGAAACTAGTTTTTTCCACTCGTCAGACCGACCGTATTAATTATCCCCGCGTTTTATTTCTCCTTCGATCGCGAATACACGAGAAATCCATTTCTCGTTTCTTCGTATCCCTCGCGTATCTACATATATATATATATATATATATATATATAAACTCGACGATTTAATAATCGACTTAATAATCGAATAGTAATTAACGAGTAAATAAGCGAAAATCTTATTAATTTATAAATAATCTGAAAACATCGATTCTATCTATTTTCGAAGTCGAATTATGAAAAATAGAAGGGAACGAGAAGCGTTATAAACGAGAAGCGTTATAAACGAGAAGCGTGATCGTGTCAATAACAAGTCTGCGTGTATATATACATTTCCGAGAATTTAATTGCTTCGTAGCTCGCGCTTCGAAATATAGAAATATAAATACTTGGGGAAAAATTTGTTCTCGAGTTCAGTAGTTATTTACCAACCGTCGAGACGAGAGCGTACACCGAGAGAGAGAGAGAGAGAGAGAGACGATACGTTCTCGATTATTCCAATAATTTTCTTAATTTAATAATCGATTAAACCAAGTGATATTACCTCACGTTACGTTATACATTATACGTTATAATTGAGACTTTAACATTGGATAATTTATTCTCGGTCGCGTAATTAAAGTTAGATCCAATCGCTATCGGTTAATATTTTTCTCCACGTATCGAGACGCATCGTATGGAAACGTTTGGAAGAAGAGGGGCAGATATCCTTAGAGACCGTCGACGAGAGTTCCTTCGATCGTAATCAGCGGCGTGCTCTCATTATCACGTTGTAATTGCATCGCTCCGTTCCGTGACTCGCCCTCCCCCTCCTACCGTTCAACGAGCAATTTCGTTTCCCTCCCCGTGTTGGCGAGGCGATCTCGCGAGAAGTCTTAACGCGGGGTGAAATATTAACTCCTCTGCGAGAAGGTAAATGAGCATCACGCGGAACCAGCCTGACCGGCCCATGCTCCGCCACCGAGCATTACGTTTTCACCGCGCTGTGATTTCGCTGTCCGCTTTATGGCAACTCGTTTCCAGGCGAGCGGAAGCGGCTCTTCGTGCCCTTCATCGGCTCTAATTACAGCGTTTACCGGCTCCGTTCCGCGGAAAAATCCGCGGACGAGGGCAAAAGGCATCGGCGGCGAATCGACCTCGCGGCGCCGAAACCGACCGCCGCGTTCGCGGATATCGACTAAGTGGCTTCCCCCCCTTTCTTCCTCTCGTGCCCATCCTCGAGACAGAAAGTTGAAGATTCAGAGAGTTGAAGATTATTCAAAATTATTTAACGCCGAAAAATGACGGATATCGAGTGCTTTCGCTTTCTTTATTCATTTCGCTTTCTTCCTAGCTATTATAATCGATTTTCGTATAATTCTCGACGTGTTCAACGATAAATTATTCAAAGTAAGTTTAATTATTATAAATTTTCTCAAATCATTGATTGACGGATGTCGAATGCTTTCTCCTCTCGTGTCCACTCAAGTTTCAGAGAGACGTTTCAGAGAGTTGAAGATTACTCAAAATTATTTAACGTCGAAAATGACGGATATCGAGTGCTTTTGCTTTCTTCATTCATTCCTAGCTAATATAATCGATTTTCGTATAATTCTCGACGTGTTCAACGATAAATTATTCAAAGTAAATTTATTCTTCTAACTTCAATTATTATAAATTTTCTCAAATCATTGATTGACGGATGTCGAATGCTTTCTTCTCCTCTCGTGTCCACTCGAGTTTCAGAGAGACGTTTCAGAGAGTTGAAGATTACTCAAAATTATTTAACGTCGAAAATGACGGATATCGAGTGCTTTCGCTTTCTTCATTCATTCCTAGCTATTATAATCGATTTGCTTTTTATAATTCTCGACGTGTTCAACGATAAATTATTGAAAGTAAGTTTATTCGTAACTTCAATTATTATAAATTTTCTCAAATCAGTGATTGACGGATATCGAATGCTTTCTTCTCCTCTCGTGTCCACTCGAGACGTTTCAGAGAGTTGAAGATTATTCAAAATTATTTAACAAAATTATTTAATTGAAAATATATAACTTCGACTCGTTTTGTTTTAGACTATAAATGATCAAAAGTAACTTTATTCGTCAATTATTAAATTTTGTCAAAATTATGATTGACGGATATCGAATGCTTTCCCTTCTTTCTTCCCTTTTCGTGTCTACTCGAGACGTTTCAAGTTAAAAATTATTCAACTCGTTGAAAAAGTAAGTAGTTAAAAATCTCGAATAATATTTATTCCTATTTATTATAGTCGATTCGATTTTCGTATAATTTCCATTTATTACGTTTTCAACAATAAATGATTGAAAGTGACTTTATTCGTAACTTCAATTATTATTAAATTTTGTCAAATCATTGATTGACGGATATCGAATGCTTTCTTCTTCTCTCGTGTCCACTCGAGACGTTTCAGAGAGTTGAAGATTATTCAAAATTATTTAACGTCGAAAAAATATATAACCTCGACTTGTTTCGCTTTCGACGATAATTTATTCGTAACTTCAACTATTGTAAATTTTGTTAAATCACTGATTGATGGATATCGAATGCTTTTCCTTCTTTCTTCCCCTCTCGTGTTCACTCGAGACATTTCAGAGAGTTGAAGATTATTCAAAATTGTTTAACGTCGAGAAAGTCAATCCGCTTTTCGTGTAACCTCGTCTCGTTGCGTTTTCGACAATAAATGATTGAAACTAACTTTATTCGTAACTTTAATCATTAAATTTTGTCCATCACTGATTCACGGATACATTCGAGGCGTTTCAAGGCCAGAGTCGAAGATTGCTCAAAATAACGTCGAAAGAGTCGATCCGCTTTTCGTACAATCTCGACTCGTTATGTTTTGAATAATAAATGATTGAAAGTAACTTGTGGAAAATTAATTTCAACTATTAAATTTTTGAACTCGTTTTGATTCAAGAATATCGATCGCTTGGCTTTCTTGTTCTCCTCGCTCGAGACGTTTCAAGAGAGGCAGAGTTGAAAAATTAACTAGTTAAAAATAAAGTTACTTTAAGCAATTGCTTATTAATTCGTAGTCGATCCGCTTTTCATATAACATTTGACGTCACGATTATTTCCAATTATTATTATCACGTTTCGATATCTCAAGTAACTTAAATCACCGTTCGAGGGCCATAGTGCTATCTACTGGATTGTAAAGATAGGGGAAATATACGGCACGCGGAAGATTTTACGCGCGTGGAAAATTTTTCAAGAAAGGAATGGAGGGAATCCTTTCGTAGAAAGATTTCAACCGAGGATTCCGATTTGTCGAGGGATCGATAAGGAGCAAACGAACGACTTCGCTCGCAAATTGCAAAGTTGCAACGTTGGAAGCGTTCGCGAGTTGGAAGCGTTATTGAGTCGTAATGTTGCGGTCGTGGGTGGGAACGTTGAACGTTTACGATTCGCAATTTTGAGGATGGGAAGGAAGGTATCGTAAAGTTTTCTTTTCGAGTTTTCCTCTTGAGAGAGAGCCGCTTCACCGCTCGTTCGAAAAGCACGGAAGGAGCGTCGAAGAATCGTCGATCGAAGCTTTGGGCGAAAAACGGGGGGAGGGGAAATATATCGAACCGTTTCTCTTCTTCGTTGGACTTCTCCTTCCCGCCCCTCCCAAGCGAAAAGGGAAAAATTTCCGTCGTTATAAAAATGCTAGGCACGGCGTCGAATGGAAACATCGCGGTTCTCGGACGATGCAAATTTGTACAGGAACAGGTTTACAGGGTGTGTAATTAGAAAAAAGGATATATACGAGATACGTAATTTCTCGGGACGAGATATAATTACAACGAGTTTAGAAATATTGTGGTTCGCTCGTCGAGCGACCAGAATCTTCAATTATCTCTCCAACCAGCCATCCCATGTATTGAGTCGTTTTCTCCCCCGTAGAACGCAGCGTGGATTAATTTTTCTTAAATTTTTACGATTCGATTCCGCGACGCAAGAAAGGCCAATTGATCTTCTTCCCTTCGAGGATATCTCGTAATGTAAACCGCGTTCCAACTTTCTCGCCCGCCGAGAATAACCGCGAATTCCTCGCGCTCCGTAAAACCCCTCCGCCTCGCGATAATTCATAAACGATTAAAATACGAGACAATCGTGTCTCGTATCGGCCAACGGATCCATCCAACCCCGTGATTTACGCTCGATTCGTCGCCTCGTTAATCCTCGCGGCAGCCTTAAGAAACGAAAAAAAAAAAAAAAAAAAAAAAAAAAAAAAAAGGGATAGACATTATTCCCCCGAGTGTCTGCTGTATCCTCGTTTATGGCAGCGATAAATGTGAAATACCGCGAAATACGGTCATCCCATTGAGCGGCGTGTTGTGCGTGGATCCCGTGATTAAAGAAACGATCTCATTGACCCTCGAATAATGCAATTTATCTCGGTCGCTAACTGTTTTATATATATGTATATATATACATGGAGCTGCACACGCGGAGGGTGGAGGATCAGAAATAGCCTTACGATTTATGCACGATTTCGGAGAGGAGGGAAAGAATTTTGCCACTCCATCCGTCCTCCAATTGATTAACGTTCTTTCGACACGGTGTGAATCGACGAATGCTCGTTCGCGCCTGATTTATATATATATATATATATATATATATATATATTAGATGGATCGATTATGCGCAATAACGTTTACTCTCGCACGAAGAATTTCGCTCTTCTTATATTATAAGGCGTATAATAACAACAACAAATAATAATAATAATAATAATATCACGTATAATAATAACAAAGTTATTCGGGATAATGATAATTCGGATTCGATACTGAAATTATAAGCTTGTTTCG